GAACTCTGTGGCCCCTGCCATGATTCAGCTGTTAAGCAGAAGTTTGGCTACTTATCCATTTCATAGCTTTCTTATATCAAGAATGCTTTTTGTCCTCTGAACATTGCTTTAACTTTTCCTGATATTGCTATATTTAAAACGTTAGTATTTCTGGTATTGTAGGCCACTACATACAGATTCTTTCTGTTCATACAGGGAAACTCTCCCTGGGCTAAATGTAAAATCTCTGTAGAAACACCTCTGCACTTCTTCTGTGAGTTCATTGAGTTCTGTTTTTAGATTTATGAATGCTGATGTCTCGGACACTAAGGGTACAGCAGCTGTTGGCTTCTTATCTGAGAGTCATCAGCTTTGTCATTGTCCACTCTAGCCTTCCTGCATGGTCATGGAGTGTGTGCCAGCCCTAATTATGCTCTCAACTTAGGATAGTAAGGCTCAAGAAACTAATACAGTGCACTAATATTGGGCCACATATGGAAATATGGTCTCTATAGTAGCACATTCCAATTTTGTTTTCCTCTTACAACTTGCTGAAGAGTTATCTTGTTCTCAGCCGTCCTGTTGAAGGAAAAACTTGTATTGATTAAAAGGCAAATTTCCATAGGCCTTTGATGGAATTATCCACTTACACTTGTCAAAAGCAATCAAAATAAGGGGATTAAATTTGTGTTGGTTACATGTAAATGATTTGGTCCTCTGGAGGCATTTCATCAAATAAAACTGAAGATAAAATTAAATAATGATCTAATTAAGTGGCAGGCATGGGAACCCAAAATGCAGCCCTGGCTGCCGAGGTGTTGCACATGGCGTGTGTGAAGGGTTGAGGGGCACGAGCAATAACGTGGGTTAGTGAGGTTTACCAGAAGCATTGCTTCTGAAAGCTGAGGGTCAATGCTTACATAGGGATAAGGCTGCCATGGAAGTATGGAGAAGGAGGCTCAGGTTGCAGCCTGCCATGGCAAGAGTTGGGCCTTGCTTGCAGCTCATATAGACATGTCTGCAGCCCAGCCTGCTGGTGTCGTCCTCTCAGCCTTCTGTGTTCGGGCTGCTCTTTGGAGAGCTTTCTGGGAGCAGAGAGTGGTTGATCTCAATGATGGACAAGATGTAGGTGAGACATTTAAACTGGATAAAATGCTGTGATGTGTCCCAGTGCAAAACACACGGCGTTGTTAGCACGGAGCGGGCAAGGTTGGGGGCCATGTATCCGTTTTTTTTCTGCGAATTAGCAGCAACTGGCTAGGTTTGCTTCTGCATTCTGTATTTTCAACCTGACTTTTTGTCTGCGAGCCAGAATTCATCCTGCCCTGTCTCCAAATGTCATCATCCCCTTGTGGTTAACTTGCTGCAATTCATGAAACGCTTGGCTGCCATAAATAGTTATGTGCAGAGGTTCCTCCGCATGCGGAGCGGACAGAAATTCGCAGGCAGCGCTGCTAGGCACTCGCACACTAACATGTCCACCAAGAGAAAGTTGACCCACTTCTGCGAATAGATAACTCCTGGCAGAAAAAGTAACACTGTCTCAGAGAATCTGTCTTTCCCTTGCCTACTGAATTGTGAAGCAAAAAAAAGCAAGCGACCTCCATCTTCTGAATTAACAGCACTGGGAGCGCAGTAGTCTCCATTGAAAGGAGAGTGTAAATCAGCCCTTGATCTGAGGAGGGCTTAAAATGGCCACAATTCACTTGTGATTTTTTTTTTTTTTTTAAATATAATGAATGCTTTTGTTAGTGAATAAGATGTGTGGAGTTCAGGACTCAGCTGCTCTTAGACATTAGGAAACATTTATCACCATGGCAATTGAGGGCTGCTGTACAGGTAACTTTGTATACTTTCAGGGTGAGTCATGTCTGGGCCAAGGCCATTTATGCCATGTTACTTCAGTCCCCGTGCATACAGGTTTATGGATACTATTCCCCTCCGTAAATTGCTTGTTGCTCTGTTATTTGCCCCTCTCCAAAAGTTCAGTACGTGTGCTGACTTCTTATGTTCCCAGGCAGTGATTCAAGGAGATATCCTACTCTGGTAGAAGGGTGCAATCTTCATACCTGCCAAAATAAAGGTTTTCTGAGAGCCAAAACTGAGGGCAGCAAGTCCGCCCCTGTCTGCACAGATTCTATGGAGCACTAATGGCCTGATGACCTGTCTGTGGGAAGCCACCAGGTTACTGCTGTCACTGTTCGTGTGCCTTCACTGTCCTGGTCAGCTGTACTCAATGTTCACCTTGCTCAAGGATTCTCCTGCAAAGGTCTTTATGAAAGATCATTGCTGGCAAGGTAGACTACAGGTTATTTTATTGGTTAGGTTTGAGACTGGGAGACTAGCTCACCGTGTGCTAAGTGCTGTCAGCAGTACTGTTGTGTCACTTGTCTTGGCAAGTGACTATAGATGCTTGGAGTCCAAGGATCTCGCACTCAGATTGAAGCAGCCCTGTATGTGGTGTGAATTAGGGTGTTGTCTGGGCCAGGAGATATGGTCTTCCATAGGCTTGCAGGAGTGGATGGCTGGCTCCTTTTTGTCTGCTTTGGGCATGGTCAGAGATGTCTGTGCTGTCTGTAGAGGAGGGAGCACCAGTGATGATTGCTGGGCTTATGGTATCAGGGCATTGGCCAGCTGTAAATTGCAGTTGAAGGGGTGACATGTTAGCTGTCTTTTGTAGTTGTGTCAGCCCAGGCTTGCTGGCAGAATTAGTTCAATCAAATTAGGACTGCTCTGGAAAGCTCTTCAACTCCTTCCCCCAGCTCCATGCAGTGACACTCAAGACTACATGCTGATGCCTTTCCCCCGATTTCGTCCAAAAGCTCTGCTGCTGTGGTTTCATTCTCAAGCAGGGAAGTTGGTGACCTTTGAATGTTTATGGAAGGCAGAGAAGTACTGTAGGGAGCAAATGAATGGAACGTGAGACACAAGAGTGGATACTTCTACATGTTTCAAGTTATCTCCAGGGCAGTAGGTTGCTCCATGTCTGCCCCTGCCTTCTGGGGCAAGGAAATGAAGCTGCATTGTGCTGAGAACTCCAGTTTGGTGTGGTGAGGAGAGCTGTGACATTGTGCTGTCCTCTTGCTGGGAAAGGGAGCAGGCAAAAGGACCACTCATAGAAGATCAGTAAAAACAAACCACTATGTTCGAGAAAAAGAAGAAGTGAGCCTTACAGCATTTCCAGTCCCCAAAGCTTATTATTTCTATGGAAACCATTCCAGCAGTAGGCTTGCTGTCAGTATCTTTTTATGATCTATTGGAGCTGACTAGATTTAAAAACTGTTTGTCCTTCCCTACGTCTTCTGCCCTGGATCATCTAAAGATAGGTTGCTGTGTATCATGAATGCAAGGTTAAAACCAGCATTCCTGCTTTCTAACTCTCCATTAAGTGCTAAGCAGTCCCTGGAGGGTTTGCAGCCATCTTTCATGTGCAGTTTTTTACTAGCTAAGGTACATTTCATTCACTCTATGACACTTATTGATAATGTCTTGTCCTATAAATGCCACTCCTGTCACACTGTGCTCTTTGAAGGATGGCCTTTGTATTAGGCTGTGGACCATCCAGTAGTGTGGTACATCTCAGTGCCCAAAGAGATGCTGCTTGACTTGAGCCGAGTGAAGACTTCAGCTCTTTACACTTGCTTTAGTTTTTCATGCAAAGAAGATACATATTTGTAATCTTCACAAATGGACACAATCTGTCCTATTTAGGAAATAGTCTGCTTGATTCTTGTGTAGCTATTTACTATTTTTGTTTTCACTGATTTATTCCCACTTTTGTTTTTAGTGGGATCTACTGGAAATGGCTCCAGGGCAGTCTACATGAAAGTTCAGTTTTGTGCTAGAGTAGAAGGGTCAGGTGCTAGAAGTATCTATAATTAAAAAAAAAAAAAAAAAAAAAGCAAAAACAAAACAATCCTTATTTTTGGTTGGCGCTGAATCTTTTTCCAGTTCTAACAAAGGTACTGAGAATCTTATTATTATGTGCAATCTTACAGCACTTTTGTGATGAACAGTGTTCTTTTGTCTTCCTGGTTTCCTTTTCTTATCTCCCTTACAGGGCTTGCAGTCTCATATTTATATGTTTCCCGGCAGCTGAATATAACTTTGATCTATGCTTTGGATCTGCAGAGCTTTTAATCCCTTTCTACTGAGTTAAAAGCTTGTTTGCTATTGAATGTGATACGTAGTTATAGGTTATATGATCTTCTCTAGTGGCTCATGCATCACACAAGGATGGCATGTTGTGAAAAACTGATAAAATGTCCCCTTGTTCTCTTTCCTGATTGCAACTCAAATCTAGAGCAGGGATGAGTCAGTTATTTGCTGCTGATACACCTGTCCTTTGCTGCTGTGTATACCTGTGCACTTGCTTTCTTTATTTCAGTTATTTGGTCTTCCTATCTCAGTGTTTTGATTTTTGAGGCTACAAACTAGGTGAGTATTTCTGCCATTGCAGAAAACTTTCTGTTTGCCAATTCTGAAAGCATTTGTGGTCTAATTTTTTTTCCTGGAGTTTTGTCTTTTCATCCTCTTAACTGCTTGCAACGCCTCTTAAAATGTAGGGATCAGTTTTTAAAGCTTGTGTGATCATTCCTCTCAGTGTCCTCTAACATGAAGATGCTGAGAGAGCTGGGGCTGTTTGGCCCGGAGAAGAGAAGGCTGAGAGGTGACCTGATAGCAGCCTTACAGTATCTGAGAGGGAGGTAAAGGAAAGAAGGGGCGGACTCTTTAGCAGAGTCTGTGGTGACAGAATCAAGTAGAAATGTCTTCAAGTTCTGGGAGGATAGATTTAGTTTAGATATAAGGAAAAAATCTACTACAGAGAGGGTGGTGAGGCACTGGAACAGGTTGCCCAATGATGTGGTTGATGCCTCATCCCTGGAGACCTTCAGGGTGAGGCTGGATCAGGCCCTGGGCAGCCTGATCTAGCTGTGGTGTCCCTGTTCACTGCAGGGGAGTTGGACTAGGTGGTCTTCAGAGGTCCCTTTCAACTCTAAGGATTCTATGATTCTATTCTATGAAAACGTACACTTTGTTTGTGGAGATCTTCTCTTCTGGAGTGGTTGCAGCTTCCACTTAAAAAATCATCATTCCTGAAGTTTTCAGTCTTCCAGGCCACGGTGATGCAGCTGCATGTATACAGATATATCCAGTTGTCTTCTGGAAGATCTTTTTTAGCTTTCTGTACAGATATTTTCTCTCTAGATTCCATTGTGTTTACTAGCCACCCAGTGCTCATCTTGAAGCCTTCTGTAAAAAAAATACAGCACTCTTTTTATGAGGTCAGTTATTATGGCTTTGTTTAAGGGTGAACTATAAAATAACATAAGAAGGATGAATGGTTTTCCATATGCAGTGCTGGATCGGGACTCTAGATTTGATGTGTTTTCTCTTTGTAATGTGGCTTGTGATATAGTGTTAGGTAAGTCTCTGGTTCTCTTCTTATAGAATCAGAATGATAAATTTCCTTTATCTTCTCCAATGAACTCGGGTTGTTGGATTGTTTATTATATGTTTGTATAGTGTTCAGCAGAATGAGACCTTTACCTCAGATGGGGCCTCTAATTATTGCTATGATACTGGTGATAACAAATATCTCAGGTTTTCAGTTATAATGAGCTAGCAAGGAAGGAGCAGTCCATAAGGGAGCTAAAACTCCAGACTCTTCTAATTTCTAGTTTGGAGTATCTTCAAATCCTGTTTTGACTTCACTAGGATAAATGTACTTTACATGCTGGGGTTCTTCTTTCTGTTTTGTGTATACCTCTTGGGACAGCAGGATGTTGAACTGTGAACAGTCTCCAGACAACTGTCAAAAACAGAAACTTGTTGAATAATAAGTTCTGTTCCCAAATTAGAAGACAAAGAGCAAAAAAGACAAAGGAAATTATTTACCTTTTCACAGCTAGACCCAAGCAAGACAACTGCAGAAAGATGGTATTGCTTTCTCTGCGTTATCAGGACAACAAATTACCTTGATACCTTTCAAAGAGTGAGGACAGCATTTGTTGTATTTTGGCTCATCCTGTTTGCATTGCTCATACCACGTTTATATATTTGGTGTCATGTTATATATTTAAAATGCTGGTTATCCAGAAGCCTGGTATAGTTTTGGCTGAGGAGCAGATCCACGACTGAAGAAGACGAGTCCTTGTTGTGTTGCTCTCTGTTTCAGCTCAAATCAGCAGAATCTTCTTCATAATTGCTGAAGACACCTTTCCTCTTTCAATTAAATTCTTACCTGTTCCCTTGATTGCTCTATTTCTGACTCCACTAATTTGGTAACTCCTAATAAGCTCTGACTAAAAAGTCATCAAAGTCACTCTTGGGTGTGAACCCAGTGCTTCTTAACCACCTTTGGCTTTTATTGCCATTTGCAGAATGGAATTTGTAGGGAGGATTGTTTGTCAGCCTATCACCTAATCATTAGGAGGGTGACAAGACCACAGTAACTTTTCCTTGGCAATTATGTATGAAAGGTTGTCAGTGTGAGTAGTATGGGAAGTTAAAAGCCTTAATTTTCATTTGGAATTGAAACCCTAATGACTTTTCACTCCCACAGATCATAAAGCTCTTGCTTCAGCCTCAAGTTGACCAAAAAAAAAAAAAAGAAGGAAGCTCTTCTATTTCAGACTTTTTGAGGAGTTTTTATAATGAAAAAGCAGCTTTATGAGTCACTGTTCTTTGTATAAAAGATAATTACTGGAGCACGAACTCAAGAAAAATGGCATTTTATGATTTTGTGGCTATCCATGCAGTGTAAGCTTTTGCTTTCTCTCTTTTCAGTTAGTTAGGTTAAACAGAATCTTGGTTCAAAAGGACTAATTATATTCCTGTTTGTTGTTTGCCTTGTGCACTAAATGTTTTCTATATGTAAAGCTAAGCAGCAGGGGCCTGGGAGGAAAGGATCACCTCGAATGAATACTGTTTAATTATTTATAATCATGGGTGCAAATCCTGTGGGTTTGTGGGTATTGTATTCAGTCACATCCATCACTTGCTTGCATCGCAGTAAGGAATAGAAAGTCCTTTTGTTAACCCTAAGAAGCATAATTATATTCCTTAATCTGTACTTAAATTTAAGCTATGTACCTACCCACTTCTTGTGTATATATATATATTTTTTTCTGTAAGCATGGGAGTATTTTGTAGCAAAACTGTATGTGCTGTCTAAAGAAGTGGGAGCCAAGTGTGGGTGCAGAAGTGCAGGTGGCACGTACAGGTCACAGCCCTGCTTGGCTCTGCAGTAGTAGATCAAAGGTTTGCAAAATGACAAGAGGTCCTGGGATCTTACTTCTTAGGGATCCACCTGAAATACCTTGACGAGCATCTTCTGTTTGAAGGACAGGTGCTTAGACTTTTCAGAATATTAAGTATTCTGAACTAGATTTAGACTTTGCTTTTGGAAATGAGTAGCTAATTCTCTTTGCTTGTGGCTCTGTACCTGAGAAAGTGTTGCTGCAGTTATATTGACATCAGAAGTCCAGTGAGCTTTGCAGTCCCAATGTTGTGCAGTAGTCAAATCTGCTCAGAGTCCTATAAAATGAGGAGCAGATCATGTAAACAGCAGCTGATTCAGTTGTTCCCCATGTGGAAAGGCTTCTGTTTTTCCTTTCAGTCCATTACAGCATCTTGCCAGGTTGGACAGAGAAGACGGAAAATCAGCTGTCCTGTTCTTCCATTCTGTCTCATTTGGATAAAAATAGAGGGCTGTCTTTTATTGATTTGTTTTTTGCAGTCTGAAGTGAGGAAAACACAATAGTTTTGGGAAAGGCTTGGAATTGGCCCCATAAAAGGACTGTTACATAGAGGGTAAGACTCCCTGAATGTTACATTTAAGGACAGCAATGCTTTTCTTTTTAAATGAACAGGTTTCATATCTAAATTTAAACTAAAGCCATATCAAAACTAACGAAAGCAGAAGCCTTATTCTATCTTGAAGGGTGTGCTTTGTTGAGCCTGAGGGCAGTGTGGAGTTTGTCCTGGCACGGCGGCTGTGAAGGTGCCCATCCTCTGGGCCTACTGCAAGTTGCTAGAGAGCAGGAGGGCAGCGGGGGGAATAACTTCCTCTGAACTTGGCTGAGCTCTTTATTTCCTTGATTCTCACGGTGCCGTTGTGCAGAGCTGATAAGGGAAATGTCCTCTTAATGGTAGAAGAGTGGTCAGCAGGAATTGCATGCCCAGCTCAAGGTGGAGTTGGAGACCGCTGGGAAAAGGTGCAGCAGGTGCTTGATGAAAGAGAAGGAGTGAATGAGTTAGCCAAAATTGTGGTTTGGGAGCTAGCTGTAGATTTCAACAGTCAATTTCATTCAACTGGATTGAACTCCCTCCAACGCAGCATTGATGATGATGCCTGGAGGTACAAAGATTGTATTTTGATCAGCAAGTCAAAAGCAAGTCTACCTGTACTTACGAACGTGTTTCCAGAATTGCACATGAAGGAGATCTCATAATAATAGTAATAATAATGGGCAGAAAAAGTTGCTTGAAGGAATGAGTTTCCTCTCTGAATGCTGGTGAAGGCATAGTCCTGAACCTTGCATGTCTTCCCATCTCAGCTTTCTGAAAGTGTGTGAACAGATCCATTACCTGAGTTTTGCACGGAAATGCTGAGTGAACATAATGCAAGATGACAGGAAAGCCGATAATGACGGAGTTTTGAAAACACAAATAGAATCATAGAATCGCTTAGGTTGTGTATGGCAACTGTTGTCATGGCCTGAACCACTGATTGATCACCTGGGGAAAAGACCAGCTCAGCCCTGGGAGCACAGGTGAAGACAATTCAGCTGTATGACCGGAAGGGATGAAGCCTGGCTGCACCTCTCTTAGATCCCACTTAAGGGCTGATTGCCACTGGGAAAGGATTTCTGGTTGGAGATCCTCCCTTGTGGAGTTTTTTCTGTGAGCCTGGATCTTTGGAGATGGGTGAGCATTCTTTCTCTGTTTGTCCTTCTTGCCATTTCACTCTTGCGTTGCCTTGCTACCGCACTAATCTTTCTAACTGTAACGGGTTGAAGGGGACCACATGGTTCATTTGAAGAGGTGCAGTATGAATGAGAAAAAAACGTGTGTGTATCTTGTGCTGTATAGAGTTGACCCAGTTGGTTATTCAGTGATGAAGTCTGATCTGTGTGTTAGGAATGACAGATCTAGATTCTGAAGTGCTTATGATTAGATTAAGACTGTGTAGTAAACCTTAATGGTGCATGAAAATCTACTGCTGGATTTGCAGTAATACGTACTTTTCTGCCTTAGAACAGCGTGAATAATGCTTTATGGTTGTATAACTCCTTCCAGACAAGGAATTGAGGAGTGCTTTGTAAACATTAATGAGTTTGGCCTCATAGCATATTTATAAACCTGAGAAATAGCATTTTCCCCTTTTTTATGGTTTGGATGTTGACTAGCCTAAGTATGTAAAGAGCAGGCAACAGAGCTTTCATTTTCTGACCCTCAGTCCTGGGCCTTATCTGTAGGACTCAGTAGACTTTCCAAGGCTATCTGAGACATGCTCAGGAATTAACTCTGGTTCAAATCCAGCAAAAGGGTTGTTGCAAACCTCTCGGTATCTATTGTAAAGCAAAAAGTATTTTAATTATTTGCCATTTTTTTTGTTTGCCTTTTTGCTCTACAGCAGTAGAGGTAGAGGCTAATCCTCAACCAGAATGAAATCAGTTTGGGCATTAGGAATATAATTTCTTTCTCCAGAACAAAGAAGCTAAGATAATGTGAATGAAAACTTCTGTTATCTTTACATGGGAGTTTCAGGTGGGTAAGGAATGTGAGGTCAGCCAGGATTGGGAGCAGATAATTGCCTGTGTCAAAGGGCAGTGAGAGTGATGCCTGTGAAAAATGCCCTTTAAGTAAATGCCTGTAGGTGGGATCAAGCATTGTGATGATATAGACAGATTTTTCTCTAGCAATTTCTTCAGAGGTTCAGCCAGAATGCTCTCACTATTTGTATGCATTTATGTAATGGAACATTTTGCAATGTGAGCATTGTGTGGATTGCAGATAAATTTTATAAATATTTTGTGTGTGAACTTAGTGTGTAATGAAGTTGTCAGAAAGGAGAAGTTTGTTGTTAGTTGTGAGTAAAGCATGTGTAGCTGAACGTTTTGGATACTGCTTTTGCAGCAAAATGCGTTCCTAACCAGAAAATGTGCTCCAAGATCTCAATGCTTTTTCAAGGACTGTGGATTAGTGAGGCTCCCAGCAAATGTCTGTAAGTCTCTAGCTGTGGAAGTGGTGATCTTTATGATGTGGCCACAGATCTACTAGCAGGGCTGTTTGTTAAAATGAGCAGCATTTGTGCTGTTGGCTGTTCTCTCTTTAATTAGGGTGGTCAAGCAAAGAGACTAAGGGGCTCCTGAACCCATTTTTCCAGATCTGAATTGGATGGGATGTTGATTATTGTGGAAGTTCTGTGGTAAGGATTGGAAACAAGAGAATGTCCAAATGTCCATGTATTTTCTGTGGGAGTTTTATTTAGGAGAGGATTTTCCTGGGAAGATTTACATGTTGTTGATTATTATTTTGTTGGTATGCTGGAAACCTCACTAAGCTAGTTGGCACTTGAAAAAAGGTGCAGATTCTTTTTCAGAGGCAATTGCCTTGTTTACTTCGTCTTTCCACATGCAGATCAAAATCAGATTTTGAGATACAACCACAAGGAGGAAGGCGTTTTTTTCTGAGGCTGTTGCATACAGTTGGAGTTATTTATACCAAGGGTGAGTTTGGTTTGTGGTCTTGTGCTGTGCAGTTTATGACTGTGTGGACAATGGAGATGGTTGTTTGGTTTCGTCAAATTGTTACTAAGCATGTGAATGGCAGCTGAAGTCAAGCAAAAGAAAGATTTGTACTGTATGATAATAATACGTGTTATCTGAGGGATGTTAGTATTCCCTTCTAACGTGACATCCATAGACCAAGAGGTATGGGAACTGCCCTACATTGTGTGATCTGGCACTGAAGCTGTGTTCAGTTTATTGCTCCACTTCACAAATGTATCCTACTGAATTAAAGGGAATTACAGTGGCTGTCTGTTGTGTGAGTGGCCAGTGTTTTTAGTTTGGACTTGTCTATTAAATGCTACACAGGCATGAGATCTTTTTTGTTTCCTTGCAACTTCTGGAACAGCCTAGCCTTAAGACTTCAGCAAAGAACAAAAGCTTTTCTGAACCACTCTGTACTCATGGCTGTAAATAACAAACTTTGGATGATGAGCAAGAGATTTTGGTAAGGCAGAGCACAGCAGTGGAGACACTCAGGTATTTCAGTGTGTGTCATGGCACCCTTGTGGAGCTGGGAACTGGAGCATCCAATAGAAAAGCTCTCAGTTGACTCTGCAGTGCTTAATCTTTCTAATACGTCCCATAATTTGTAGTGAAAGATCTAGATAATGAAAGAAAACAGTTATTTATCTGGGATTAGCCTACATAAAACATTTATGTTAAACTGAAACTAGGCCAGAATAATGTTCTTTTATAAATGGTGGTAATGAATTGCAAATCAGTCCAAAGTCTTGCGAAGGCAAAAGAGCCTCTGTGGTTCTTTCAGTGGACTTTGTGCCCTGTTTGTAGGCTTAATGCTGTATCTGTGTCCATTGGTGTTGTGGAGAGTGAAGTACTAGTTTTGGAAAGCAAAGCCAAGCCTGGTCCCACCAAACAGTGAAGCAAGCATACCAACTGAGGGGAGTGAATTAATAACATGTTGGTAACAAAGTCTCAGGTTGGCTAGTTAGCAGTGACTATGAAGCCTGTCTGCTTTTCCAAATCCCTGCTTTGCTAGCAGTGCGTAAGACATTTTCCTGCTGATTTATTGTGGTAGGAGCTACAGAGTAATCCTTGGTAAATAGATTTATACATGTGACACTCTACTGAATGGGAGATTTATACTTGGCTGTTCCATTGCTGCTTATTACCATATGATGTTTCATTGAATGCAATTATATGTCTGCTTCTACTCTTTAAAGGATGGAAAGATTTCACAATATTACTATCTTCTGCTCAGCAGTGTCTCACAAAGAGTAATTTCCAACATGATGAATGGGTTTGCAGTTGGTTTTGTGCCTTGTAGGCCTGGTTGTGTGAAATAAGCTGGGTTTTGGCTAAGGCTATCTTGAATTTCAACAGGATTTGTGATGCTGAAGGTGCTTCAGAAGTTGAGCTGAACTTTGTCAGCTGTCTGAGCTCATCTCAGGCTCTTAAAAAGCTGATAAGATCCTCATAACTCTGGGAGGTCTTAGAGGACATGTAGATCTTTGCTGTTTGTCCTGGTTTCAGATGAAGTGAAGTCCATTCACTATAAATTTAGTTTAATTCATTATACTAACTAAAGAATAGAGCATTTTCTGTGACATTAGGAGGCTATTTAGATTTTTATTAGGTAGTATTTTTCATCTAGTATATTTGGCACATCTGAATATTTCCTGCTGCTCTCTACTATATTTTTATGGGGAAACATTTTCATTAAGTTCAAATTATTTTCTTTCTCACTTTGGAAATCAATATGGTGCAAAATCTTTTCAAAGCAGTGGAATCTGCAGGGTATTTTATGAAGTCTAAATGTTTTGGGAGAAAACCTGACTGCTGAGGTCCACAACAGAACTTCTCTTGACTTTGGAAGGAGTAAGATTTCGGTTTTTAAGCTTGCTTGGAACATTTCATTCCTGGCTGATGCATGTTGCATCTTCAGTGATTTAATTTCAGCATGGCTTTTAGAAACCGTGACCCTTTTTGTCCATGTTCAAGCCCTGTATTGCTGCACCGTTGAGCTCTGAGACCTCATTCATAAACATCCCTCCAAACGTGGCTCTTTATCCCGTGTCCACGGATGCGAGAGAATCCCAAACAATAGCAAGGCTGAAACAAAAGCAGGCATTGTCTGGGGGGTGCTGAGGCAGGCACTTGGAGGGGCCAGAGAACCTCTGCGGGCTGGGACCATTGTGCCCGTAATTGGATTTTTGCAGCCGATGGGAAGGGGAGGGGACCTGCCGGGCCAGGATTGCCTGCTGCAACGAACCCAGCCGTGTTTGGAGGTGGCAGATGACCTTTAAAGCCCATGCTGTTCTGCGAGGCCTCGTATAGTGCAAATGCACCAGGTTGCAACTTTATTAGTGATTAGACACAGAGATAAGCCTCAGCACATTGCCTAATCTGCAGAGCCTAATTCCAGGCATTGAAGCCAGGGACGCTGATACAAACACAAACCAAGTGCCTGCTCTGTCTCTCAGCTGAGTGACTGCCACAACCCTACAGAGAGCTTCTGGATAACCTGGGTCTGGTTCTGATAAGCATTTGCAGTGGGGATGCTGGGACAGTACTGTGAAAGTACAGAAGGAGGAGGGGGTTATACATATCAGTCATTGTTTTCAAACCCAGTTTAATTTCTGTGGTAGTTAATGAGAAGAATATTTACAGTGAGCAAGGATTGGTCTTCCCTGCAAAAGTAAGGTCAGGGCTACAGCCCAAAGCAGCTTGTAAAGTGGAGCGTTTTGGGGGAAATGCATTTCCATTTTTTCAATCTGAGGGTATTCCTGGGTGCTCTGGAGCTATTCAGAGTTGTCGTGGTCGTCTTTTGGATGGGGTTCCCTTTCCTGTGGGCCAGGCTAAAGGGTTAGAGGAGTTTGGACCATGCTGATTTATCCCTGTTGGATGTTTTAGGCAGTGGTCAAATCCTGCTAATGTGTCTGTGTGAATGGTGGTGGAAAATGTCAGAGGTTGTAAACAAAGATGAATCATCATAGGTCAAGGGTTAGGACTCTTCTTGATGGCACAGCAAGTGTGATGTTGTGGTATGCTCTGTTATTGGATTTCCTCCAAGGATTGCACTTCGGGGAGCTTTGGCCTCATGGCATCCTGCTGCTGCTTGTTGTCCTTTCAGTAATGTGGGAGATTCCAATTGGAACATATACATATTCTACG